GGGAGTAGAAAGAAGAGGAGGGTAAGCAGAGGCATCACTAAAAAGGAGATGGGAGCATGCCTCCTTCATAATCTTGCCAAGCCTTCTTGATCTTATGCCTTTAAAAAATGAAATATTTAATAACAAAATCTAATTGATGTTTGAATTATAAAGTGATTTAGGAGCACAGCTGTGGTTAGTAGAATCATGACCTCAAAAAACTGTCCACATCCTAATCTCAGGGACTTGTAAACATGTTATCTTACTTTGTAGGTGTGATTAAGTTAAGGATCTTAAAACGGGGAGATTATCCTAAAATACCCCATTGGGCCGAATGTAGGTGAAAGAGGGAGATTCAGACTGAGAGAAAGAGATGGGGCTGGTTTTGAAGATGGAGAAAGGGGCCACAAGCCAAGAAATGCAGGCAGCCTTTAGAAAAGGATGGAAAAGTCCAAGGAACAGATTGTCCCCAAGAACTTCCGGAAAGGAACACAGCCCTGTTGATACATTGATTTTAGCCCAGTGAGGACCATGTCAGACTTCTAATTTACAGAACTAGAAGATAATAAATTTTCTTTTTTTTTTCTGTATGCGGGCCTCTCACTGCTGTGGCCTCTCCCGCTGCGGAGCACAGGCTCCGGACGCGCAGGCTCAGCGGCCATGGCTCACGGGCCCAGCTGCTCCGCGGCATGTGGGATCCTTCCGGACCGGGGCATGAACCCGTATCCCCTGCATCGGCAGGCCGACTCTCAACCACTGCGCCACCAGGGAACCCCAATATGTATTTTTTAAGCAATCAAGTGTGTGGTAATTTGTTACAGCAGTCAAAGAAACTGATACAATAACAAATGCAGCATATCAAGCATTTTATGGGAAGACCTAAGTGGGATGCCCCATGTAAGCTGGAAAGTTCAGGGAAGGTTTCCCTGTATGCAGCAAATAAATGGAGAAGGAATTTTCAGGGCAAAGAGGAGGGGAAAGGGCATTATAGTGTGTGAGATCAGGATGTGTGTAGAAGAAACATGAGCAAAAAGGAACAAGGTGAGAAATGAGAGTGAGTTTGGATCACTACAAGCCATCCCACCTTGCTAGCAAGCAACATGGCAAGAGATGAAGCAGGAGGGATGGGGTGAGAGTGTGGAGAGGACTTCTCTGCCCTGGGGAGGGGCTTAGGCTTTAAACCGGGGGGCCTAAGGAGGCAATGAAGTCTTTTAATGAATGGTGGTGTGTATGTGTGTATGTATGTATACTGGGGGGCTGGAATGACATGGTAAAGATTTGCACTAAAAAATATATCTTACATAGAATATATCTTACATATAATGTATATACACATACATATATACATATATATGCACATATATGTGCATATATAATATATAGTATATACATATAATGTATATACTATATACATTATATGTATATAATGCATACAATGTATACATTGTATATATTGTATATACTATATACATTATATATATGTATATATACACATATATACATATATGTATATATACTATATATACATATATATGTATATATAGTATATATACGTATATATACTAATATGTATATATAGTATATATGTATATATACTATATACATTGTATATATTGTATATACTATATACATTATATTATATACTATATACATATAATGGATATACTATATACATTATATGTATATAATGTATACTATATATATATGTAATTCTTCCTTTTAGCAAATAACTTCCAAACAGAAATAAACAACAGTTATTTCAAATATAAACCCCAGTGGCTGTGTCACAAGGCACAGGCTCTGAATGTGGGCACCTGATTTGCAGTCAGACCCTTCTTCCCACCTGGGCAACAACATGCACTGTGCTCCAGGAGGGGAGACTGCACGAGGCACTTTCTTCTGCCCCTAAATCCCTCCTCTTTAGTGGTCCCCCTTCACAGGGGCATTGTCAGAGGATTTATTCAGAGAGGGTGCTGATGGTGGTTTGGGGATGCTTTAGTCCCTACACAATCTCCATCGGACCAACCCAAGCTATTCCAAAAAAATACATAATACTAATACTTTTATAAACATATGGATAATCTTATAAAGCAGGTAGGTTTGAAGCTGCTCTGCTTGGAGTGGGTGTGGAGGCCATACTGTCTTCTGCTCAGCTTTCTCCCCCTGTCCACGGCACCCTCATCAAGCCCCAAGGATTCTTCGATCATCGTCAGTAAAGTACCACTCATTGCCCTCATTCATTCCACAGTTACTGTGCAACTACCATGTGTCTGGAGCAGCTTCAGGCAATGGAGGTACGAAAGTGAAAAAGACAAATTTCTCTCTCTCTCTCTCTCTCTCTCTCTTTCTCTTTCTCTCTCTCTTGTTAACTAATGTGCAGATGGTAACTAGTGTGATGGAGAAAAACAAATCTGGAAAGAAACTTAGAATTTTGGAGTTGGAGGAATGAACTCCAAATGGGTTAGAGCAGATAAAGTTTATCTTCAGATTCATTGATCTTAACAGGTACGCAGAGAACAAGGTCATCAGCTGAGCTTGCTGGAGAGGAGTTGTTGCTGGAAATCTGGAAGGAGAGGAGGAAACTTGAAACAGTCATGTAGGGGAATAGGAGAGAAACAGGTCTGGGGCTGTATCATATGATCACTGGGCAGCATTAAGGCCCATTTGAAGTTAATGATAATAAATTTAAAGTGAAGCCAGTTGACACCCTTCCCCCTCCCCCCAAAAAAGAAAAACAAATAATCTCAGGTAAGGTGTGAAGAAAAGAAGCTTCAGAATATTTGGCTATTTAAAATGATTTGTACATATTCTGTCATCAAAATAGCAACCAACTGCTATAGCCATAAAAGAAATCCGTAAACATCTAAAAGAAATCCTTCTTTCCCAATTTCCAACCTCTAAGACACACCACTGGCATTTTATATTTATGGGTGGTTTATAGATCCTCCTGAGCTGCATTATGTAGGTTGCCAATATTTTCTAATTCCACATTCTTGTTAATGAGTGGCTCCCCGTTGCCCTCCACACAAGATTTATTAAAATTACCCAGGGAATAGTACATTTACAGAACTATGAAATACAGTCACTGTTTCATACTGATTAGAATTGGTACTTTCAGTTGAAGTCTCCTCCCAGAAAAGTGCACAAAAATCTCACCTTCTCCTCCAATTTTGTCAATTTCTTCTGGGATATAGTGGGCCTTCAATACAAAATATTTTCCCTTAACAATTATTGTTTCTAGTAACTTTGTCAAAAATACATGAAAGACAGAAAATCACTTAGCTCTGTGATGCCAGGCACTGGGCCATCCATCCTGTGTTTAGCAGGCAAAACTTGGACCAATGGAGTAGATTTTGTTCTCCAAGGAGAGTTAAGGACAGGAAGAGAGGTGAGAGGCTCTCAAAAAGCAGGACAGCCTCAAATGCTGAGCCAGACACAAGCTCAGAAGGAGGAAATGTGATGTTTATGGGACCAACTTGCAAATGCAAACATGAGTCAGCCAAAGCAACATAACAAAGGATCCTCAACAGCTGGATTTCTTTGATGTTTAAAGTAGTAATAAACATCCATGACTATCTTTGGAACATGATTTATCTCTACATACACATATATCTATTTAATAGAACCACAAGGATTAGTTAACCAAAACTTACCTAAGAACTATCAACTTTCACTTCCCTAATTGGGTCCCGATGCACAAGTTTATCTGTTGGGGAAAAAAAAAATTTTTTTTTTACTTTCTATTACTGAAGTGGGAATCAGTAATTGTAGGGTTCCCAGGAAGACACTGAAAAACCCTCGGATTGGGGGGGATTTGGGCTGCAGTTCTCCAAATCTGTTACATGGGAGGGGGTAGAGCAAATCATTAGTGAGTTTTCTTGTCTCCTCAGGTCTAAAAGTTTATGAACTTTCAAAGGGATACAGGAGCCAACCTGAAAGAGTTCCAGCCAAAGCTGTAAAAATTTGAGCAACAAAATAAATAATGTAGTATTGAATTATAGCTCAAATTATAAACTAAATACGTATGAGTCCACACTGCTATAAATAAATGATTGAATAGATAAATATTTAAGAGGGAAGGAACACATCTACCTTACAGAATAATTCCAAACAATAAAGTAGATACTCCCCGCTCCAGGAGGTGGAGTTGCATTTCCCCAACCCTCCTCTCTGGAGTGTGGGCTGAATTTGGTGACACTCATTCAAAGAAAAAAGTATGGAAAGAGAAATAGCAACTGCTGGGCAGACACTACTTTAAGCCATTTAGGTCAACATCACCAGTAACAAGTCCTGTTGCTATCGTGTAGCCCCTGATAGGATGTGATAACGAGAAGGACATTTTACCTGTGTGGTCTTCCTCCCCCAAACCCATAACCACAGCCTAATCATGAGGAAAACATCAGAAAAAACCAAATGATAGATATCCACAAAATAGCTTAGCAGAATTTTTCAAAACACTCAAAGTTAAGAAAAACAAGGGAAGACCAAGAAACTGTCACAGACAAGAGGAGATTAAAGAGACATAACACTAAATGGAGCGTTGGGTCCTGAACGTGATCGTGGAACAGAAAGATCTCAGCGGAAAATCAGTGAAATCTACGTGAAGTCTAGTTTAGGCAATAGTAACGGATCAGTGTTCATTTCTTATTTTTGACAACTGTACCATGGTGATGTAAGATGTGAATATTAGGGGACACCGGCAGAGCGGGTTTAAGCAACTCTGTACTATCTCTGCAACTTTTTTGTAAATCTAAAATTACTCCAAAATAAAAAGGCTTATTATCAACAACAAAAGCAAACATTTATGAACCTGGAGTGCAAACAGAACCTTTTTGAAAAAGCAGCAGCAACTATTCCCCTTTACATAACTCAGTTACTGAGGCGTGTGCAGTGCTGGGAACTCGGGTGTTGGGATGCAGAAAAGGCAGCCCGGGGCCGGGCGTGCGCGTCTGGGCGCCGCGGGGGCCCAGGCTCCTCCCCGGAGCCGCTGGGGCGCCGGACTCTGCCCTGGGCGCGCCCTGCGGGGCGGAGCCACCAAGCCGGGCCTGGCCGACCCGGCCCGAGGTCCAAGCAGAGCGGAAGAGCAGCGCCTGGACCCTGCGCTCGCTGAGCGCCCTCCAAGGTAGGCGAGCCCCTGCGATCTGCGGGCAGGTCAACCCTCCCGCCCCCCCAGGTGAGTGGGTGTCCAGGTGCCCTTGGAGCTGCCCCCCCCGCCCCCAGCGCCGCCCAGTGTACCAAGGGCATTTTCCTGTAAACGGATCCTTGGTAAGGAGCATATTCACCCTGTAAACCTCTTTTCTGGGCTCGGATTCCCTGGGCGAGAAGTTTGTGCTCCTCCAGGAAAAGAGTTGCCTTCCCCGAGAAAGCTTACCCCCTCCATAGCCCTGTGCACACCTGATCATTTATTTAGATTGGAGTTATGCAGTCCCTTGGTCAGGGGTCCCCGCGATTCACAGGCAGTGGAGAAAGCCCTCTGGAAAACTTGCTGTCACCTGTGAACCCCCGCGTGGCAACTTTGACGGCTTACTGTGCCCGAAATTTTTAAGAGCATAAACAAATGAACGAGTGAAGGTGGTTGTCTTACCCTTCATTCATTCGTGCTGGCTTCTGTAGCTGTAGGTGTAGCGAAAAGAGAACAGCCTATTGGCTGACAGTTTTCTACTGTCATGGGATTTTAGAGCTGAAAGTTACTCAGCCCCAGGCAATTTTGCAAAGGGGCAGTGTCATCTTACGGAAAGAACAGTACAGGACAGTGCAAAACTGGATGATGACATGGCTGTAACTTTTCAACCTTCTTCGAAAGGGAAAATAAATTTATATATACATATATATATACACACACATATATACATATATATATGTATATATATATGAGCAGAAGAAGCCGTTAGCTCCAAATGTAGCTGAAGCTGTGTCTGTTTACCATTTTCACTATAGTTGTTTGATTTAAGAATCAAAACCTTTTTTACTTCTTGGTATATATAGACTAGATGAAGTGTCCAAAAGGGAATTACTTCTCATTTGCAATTGGGAAAAGATAATGTCTTTTTAACCTAATGCTATTAAATATTCAGTTCTGCGGAAGTCTGGCTTTTCAGAAATATGATCTGAGCTGGAGTTTCAGGTACCCTAGCACACACAATCGGTGCTGTTGTTTCTTCCTGCTGGGCTCTCCCCCCTCGCTCTTGCCCTACACTGATAATTTGAGAGTGAAGGGCCCTGACACAGAGGAATGTGCACCTAAGCAGAGGCTTCTCAACCACTTACAGAAAGAATGAAAATGGCTTACACTTCCTGTGACCTAGGCAAACTTCCCAAGGTTTTTACCTTTGTGATTTGCTAAATAAATGTAGTAACTAAACCTGCACTAACTAAAAAGAGATTTTTGAAATAAAGACAGACACTATTTCAGTTGTATTATTCACCTTTCTGATTCTGAGAATTAATGACAGACATGTTATTTGTTAGCGTATTGATTTATAATGTGCTGGACAGTGGGCTTGAGTTGTAATCCCCAAATCTGGACAAAGCCGGAAGATCTAAGCTAGATTTGGCCAAAACTGAAAAGTGAGGTGTACATTTATTTGTTTAGAATAATGGCTGTAAAAGGGAACAACGGAAAGTTTCTGAAGGGAATGTCATTTAAAGTAGTGGCTTTGACTCTGCGTGGCATTTACATCAAAATTAAAAGGCCATTTATCGATAGAAAAGCATTTCAAAATGGCAACACGTTACTCTCAATTTAATAGCATGTTTAAGTAAATTTACATTTCAGTAAGTGTGAAAACAGCCACCCACTGAATTTGGAAACCAAAAGCACGGTGTGTGTATGTGTGTGTGTGTGTGTGTGTGTGTGTGTACACTCGGTTTTAGAAAATATTTGGTGTGTCTGTGGATTTTCGGGCCTAGTCATATATTCACTGAACAAATATTTATTGTGTAGGGCACTACGTTCTTTCTAGGAGACACAGGGGGATACAGCTTTGTGTAAATAAGACACATTCCTGTCCTCGTGGAATTTACACAACTTTGGACTCCTCCGGGACACCCCGAGGCCATAGATTAGGAATCACAGCAATCACCATCCATCACTTTTTGACAGTGACCGAAACTAGAAACTAGATTAGTTTCAAATCACAGACTCTTTTACACTGATTGAAATAGATTAAAAAATCGTAAAGGAACTTATATGTTATTCAAGTCAGTTTTCTCTTCTGCTTAGGTTGGGAAAGAATTTAGGGATCCTGTGTTCTGGGTTTAATATTATGAAATATTGAGATCTTAAACCTGAAATAGCTAAATATCAATTTCATGCAAATTCAATGAAAACTAAACTTGTAGTAGCAGATGCAATCATTTAGGGGGTGAAAAATTCAAATCGAGAGAATCCTATCCATCAAGTTATTTTTTTCCTGTAAATTAGAAAAACATGACTATAATTATTTTTTAACCTCAGAGGAAAAGAGTGACTTTATGTAAGGCATTCTTGCTTTTTTTTTTTTTTTTTCATTTTGCTATTTTTAAAAACAGCTCTATTGGAGGTATAATTTACATACCATAAAATACATCCAGGTGTCCAATTCAGTGATTTTTAGTAAATGTATGGACTTGTACAACCATTATCACAATCCAATTTTAGAATATTTTCATCATCCCCATCCTTCCCAAATCTCAAGGGCCTGTTTTTAGTCACTCACCATTCTCACCCCCAGCCCCAGGCAAGCACTAATCTACTTACTGTTTCTTTAGATTTGACTTTTCTGGACACTTCATACAATGAGATCATACAATATACGGTGTTTAACATCTGACTTCTTTCACCTAGAATAATGTTTCCAAGGTGCATTCAGGTTGTGGCATGTGTCACTAGTGGTTCCTTTTTATTGCTAACTAATGTTCATCCCATTGGCTGGCTATGCCACATTTTGCTTACCAGGTGATGGGCATTTCTGCAATCACATTGAAGGGGTAAGACAGATACTTTGGTCCAGCTTCCATGGTAGCATAATTTGAAAATAACTGATAGGAGCCAAACTTGTATTTATATTTCTGAAAAATATATTCCTGATATGGATTGCTGATATTTACCAAATGTCGTAACTGTGATCTTTCTGTGATACTCCATGAAAGTAGTAAATGGTAAATCCTGTGCCAGTGGCAGGAAGCATCGGTCATTTCATATTCTAGGTTGGACTTAGAAGACGTTTAACTCTTTTTTTTTTTTAAAATGTGAGAATTTATTTTGCCTTTATTTTATTTTATTTTTTTATTTTTTATTTTTTTTGCGGTACGCGGGCCTCTCACTGTTGTGGCCTCTCCCATTGCGGAGCACAGGCTCCGGACGCGCAGGCTCAGCGTCCATGGCTCACGGACCCAGCCGCTCCGCGGCATGTGGGATCTTCCCGGACCGGGGCATGAGCCCGTGTCCCCTGCATCGGCAGGCGGACTTTCAACCACTGCACCACCAGGGAAGCCCTTGCCTTTATTTTTGATAGATAATTTTGTTGGATATAAAATTCTTAGTTGACATTTTTTTCCCTTCAGCACATGTAATGTCACTATCTCCTGACCTCCATTGTTTCTTTGAGAGGTCTGCCTTCAATTTTATTTTATTTTATTTTTTTAATTTTTTTTATTGGAGTATAGTTGCTTTACAATATTGTGTTACTTTCTACGGTACAGCAAAGTGAATCAGCTATACATATACATGTATCCCCTCTTTTTGGGGTTTCGTTCTCATTTAGGTCATCACAGAGCATTGAGTAGAGTTCCCTGTGCTATACAGTAGGTTCTCATTAGTTACCTATTTTATACATAGTATCAATAGTGTATATATGTCAATCCCAATCTCCCAGTTCATCCCACCACCCCCCTTCCCCTTGGTATCCATACTGTATCTCTATTTCTGCTTTGTAAATGAGATCGTCTATACCAATTTTTTCAGATTCCACATCTATGCGTTAATATACAATTTTTGTTTTTCTCTTTCTGACTTACTTCACTTTGTATGACAGTCTCTAAGTCCACCCATGTCTCTACAAATGACCCAATTTCATTCCTTTCTATGGCTGAGTAATATTCCATTGTATATATCTACCACATCTTTATCCATTCCTCTGTTGATGGACATTTAGGTTGCTTCCATGTCCTGGCTATTGTAAATAGTGCTGCAATGAACATTGTGGTACATGACTCTTTGAATTATGGTTTTCTCTGGGTATATGCCCAGTAGTGAGGTTGCTGGGTCATATGGTGGTTCTATTTTTAGTTTTTTAAGGGATCTCCATACTGTTCTCCATAGTGGCTGTATCAACTTACATTCCCACCAACAATGCATGAGGATTCCCTTTTCTCTCCAGCATTTATTGTTTGTAGATTTTTTGATAATGGCCACTCTGACTGGTGTGAGGTGATACCTCATTGTAGTTTTGATTTGCATTTCTCTAATAATTAGTGACGTTGAGCATCTTTTCATGTGTTTCTTGCCCATCTGTATGGAAAGGCGTTTAACTCTTGACGTTAACTTCTGTAGAGAGCCTATGTCTCCTTTGCTACGTTTTCTTCACAAATGATATGCATTTAAATTTGGGGGATTTTGATGAGTGTTTGGTCCAACAGTGATAACTGAACTACTCTTAAAGATATGAGCACTTCTTAATAACATATTTTAGTGGCACACTTAACATAAAGCAAGAGTCATCTAGAGCCTTAAGCCAAAAAGTAGAAGGGAGTGCATCTGGATTGACATGCTTTTCGTTTTATTATTCTGTAGTTTCTATGACTGTGCTAAAGGATGAACCTGATACAGCTGTTTGTTGATTTACCAAATCAGGCACTAATCTGAGCTCTTAAAATCTAAAACAGAAGAAATGCCACTCCTTGTTCCTCCAGGACCTTTAGAGGAGCTAGACCAAAGTAATAAATTATTCCAGGTTCTTACTACGTGGTGGTGTTTCTTCTATGAGTAGTCTACAGAACAAATGAAATAAGAACTCTCTAACACTACAAAAACATTGGCTTTTGGTTATAGTCTCTTAGGAAGCCGGGACCTTGAACAGCAGTTCAGTCAGAGCTGTTTTCTTAATTAGCCCCATTCACCCTGCTTTGTGCTAACTCTTAAGA